GACAAAACCTTTTCGAAACATTGTACATTTGCTGTTATGTTAAACTTATATTAAAGTTTTTCTTCATTGCCCATTCAAGCCGTCTCCATCCATTATTAATCTCAAAGTGGGTTCCTCGTCATCGAATTCGAAATCTTATTTGGGTTTGTTTCTGGATCAACTATATTATTTAAGGTGGTCTTTTCATTATACTAGTCAGGCTCAAGAGTTAGTGCTTTCTTTCTTATAGTAAAAATTTTATTTATCAACAATTCTGCAGGCTTTTGTTTTTTTTTCCAATCTGTTAAAAGTCCTTTGTCAGAGCCATACTGTTTTAACAGTTGTAAATGTAAACGTCACCCAATTATCTAAGCAAGTTATTTTGGTAAACGTATGCCCTACTTCGATGTAAATATGAATTTTCATCTTGTTTCATACATTACTTATGAAGTAAGTTCAGTTATTGAAATCACTTTTTTAAACTTAAATTATTTTAAGTACCAATTTTTCTATTGGCCTTCCTCAGGTACAGAACAGCCAGTATGTTTACAAATTATGTATTCACTTTAAAACTATATTTTCATACAGTTTTGCTGATGGTAAATAAGTACTTTCTGGTAGCTGGTGCACAACATACAGTTCACTGTGTTGCCAAGTTCAGGGTTTGATACCATTCGAACATGAGTATCATAGGTTGTTATGAATAAATGACTCCCTCTGTGGGAAAGTGAAAATTTATTGAATGTCATTGAATATAAAATTCTAGCCTACCAACTGCTTATAGTTTATTGCCGTTAGTGGGACCATATATTTTTATGATTTTCTCCAACTTAAGATAACGTGATTTACTCTGTAGAAGGGCAAATAACAATGTTTAAAATGCGTGTCCTATGATTAGCGTGTGTATTGTAAATCCGAGGATCTATGGTTCTCGCCCCGTTGCTACAATATTATGCTTCGCACTTTGGAACCTTGATTGCATCATAAGAATGACAGTTAAATCTCACTTTTTGATTAAACTAGCTCAAGAGCTGGCAATGGGTGTTGTTGAATAGCTGCCCTGAAACAAACAATAATATTTAATTCTTACCCATACCCTTTCCGTTTATATTAAAAAAAATTTTCTTAAAAATACTGTTCTTTACTTAGAAAATTCAAACGTTTTTATTTGTAATTAATATAAAAGCTTATGTTTCTGATAAGTTAAAATCATTTATAAAAGTAAGAGTTGAATACAATTATGTTATCCGAAATTATATATCAGAGAAAAAAAATTTATATGTTGTATTTGTGTTATTTATAAAATAACTTTGGTTCATCCTGTACGTCACAGTACAAACAACGTGGTAGGTATAGGATTACATGATTGCACTGATATATCATCTCATCATTGTTATACAATTTAGAGAGAGCTACAAATGTGTGATTGTGAATAAGTTATTTTATAATACCTTGAGATATACAATTAATCTGCAATTGGAGAAATTGTTATATGTTCCAATTGTGCAGCACATTATATTCAAGATGATAAGCAGAGTGATGAACATGATGCATTTCATAAAGTAACTAATGAAATCATTCTTGATCGTGATTAAAAGGCTACTTATAACTGTGGTATTGTTAATAACTGTAGACGGAAAGTTCTTTATTAAGCTACAAGGGAACACTCACGACAGCTCTGAAGTACGTCTCTTCTTCTGAGAGCAGAATAGGAGAACTTCATGTGTTGGTCAAGGAGGCAAAAAACCTGATAGCTACTCGGTCAAATGGCACTTCAGATCCCTTTTGTAAGAGGTAAGAACAGATACTGAAGTTATTGTACTTCAAAATTTTATAAAACTGTAATATTTCATAAATAGTAAAATAAAGTAATATAAGCATTGTCTTTTATGTTTTAAAAGTTACCATTCTATTTTTTAAATTATATACTTTATATACTTTCAGAAAGAACCGAGATTGATGTTAATGTAATCGTAATTAATTACACTCAAGTACATATACATGGAAATCAAAAAGTAGGCTATAGTCTATTTCCCATTATGAAATACGCGGGGAATAAGTATGGCTTTTATAAAATATTGTTACGTCTCCGTTCGTTAATTTTCCGTAAATTCGTTCCGACGAAACTTTAGCGACACAAGTCCTTTCTTAAATAAAACTGGCTTATTCTTTCCGAATAC